AACAAATATTGTATCAAGTAGAAGAGAGAGGAGGTAAGTCTAATGCTTGAGAATATATTTGGGTGGTAGCATTGTATCTGGCGAGACAATTTGTAGCTCTTCTAGTACACAAGAACTTTTAGGTCCATTATATAGCTTATAGAGAACTGGTTGATTTTCTTTTATCAAATAAGAATTGATTGTAAAAGTTTCGGGAGACCAATTGCAATCAGTTATCCTTTTTTTCCAGCCTTCTAATTCTCCCAGTTCTAAAAGATGACGAACTTCTGCATAATTAGAAATAAGAGGCTCATCACATCCTACAGGTCTTCGATATTTTACAGCCAGTTTTGAAATAATTTTTTCACCTTTTAATGCACGTTTTACTGCCTCATTAGGAGACATACCTATTAAGGAAGTAATAGAATTATTAAATGTATCATCATTGATATGAAGACCTTTGACCTAATCTCTAGATCTCTCAGATAAAGGCAAATAAAAATTTGTAGCATCTTGACGAAAAAAAGCATGCTTTTCAAATTCTTGATGATCACGTTTCGTAACTGCTACACCTCGTTTAGTTTCTGTGTATTGAGGTTTTACATTATAATTAAGTAATAAATCTCTACATTCACCTAAATATTTCTGACCCTTATCAGTTTTAAAAATGTTAGACCAAAAAAGTGAATGACTAGAATTCTCATAAATTTTCTTAATTACTTTAGCAACTGTAGAAGCTGATTTATTAGTTAATGCACAGCTTTTTCGATATTTAGTTGCCATATCTTTTATTACAAGCCTATATTTAAAAACTCGATTTCTAATTTTATCATAAAGCATAGGAGTAAGATCAGATTGATGCATTTCGTTTAAATTTTGTATATCATTAAAAGAGGCATACTGAATAAATCGTGGATGTGGTTTATGAATTTGATATAAAGCCTATTTATTTAACCAGTTTTTAATGTCTGTTAACGAAAAATTATAACCAGCTATACGTGACGCATTATGCATTTTTTCAATAGTTCGATAGTACCCTTCAGGATGGTAATATAATTTTTGTAAAGCAATTTCACAGTCAAGTTCACGAGCCCTTTGTGAGTCAATATAAATTACAGATTCACTCATAACTTTTATTATTATAGTAAATAAAAAACATGGATGATTTACGTCAAGCTAATCAAGAACTTTATGATGAAATCGATCGATTGGCTTAATCAAACAGGGATTTTGAGCGTCGAACATATAATCTCGAACGAGATATAATCCAACGTGAAGAAAGGATCCAGTATCTCGAGGAGGAGTTAGTAAATACAATCGAACTTTCTATACAAGAAAGGACGGAGCTGGAAGAGGAGATTAGAGATTTAAAAAAAATCGTCTACCACCTTAAAAAAGAAATCGAGCAAAAGGACAAGGAACTCATTACTAGAAAAAATCAACTAGCGGAATTTAATGTAAGAAAAAAAAGTTGAAAACCAGAATTCGGAAAATATCCAAATCAGCTGGAAATACACCTAGAGCATATAACCAAACAGCAAAGTTAATAGATGAGAATGAATACCTCAAACGTGAGATTGATACTTTAAATTATAATCTTAGAGATCGAGACAAAAAATTAGCTCAGCAAAAAAGTCGTATCACCGATTTGCATTGCCAAAATTTTGGTATTAGGTTATTGCATTATCGGGACAGATTGAAACTTGTCAATACCTGAGAAACTTTAAGAGTTACAGAAGCATGGAATATAGATAATGAATCAAATTCGGAAGAAGATTCAGACGAAAATTCTCAAGATAGTAATACTTCTGATTTAAATATGACCACAATACCAGAATTAGTCGATGCCATAGATGGCTATTTAGATAATACTAGAATAAACAGATTCGTTCTAGTTAACCAAATAAAAAGAGTCACACAGCAAATTCGTCATAAATATAATAATGAAAGAAATACATGTCAACAGTATTTTTTAGAATTACAACAATGTCGTATCAGAATAGATACGTTGGAAAATGATTTATATTTATGTGATATCCAGCTCGATTTTAAATGGGATAAGTGGAAAAATAGAACTCGAAATGCTGAGCAATTAATTTTAAATTCACAGGAACAAATTTTATTACTACAGAATAATCCACTTTTAAATATGGCAGAAGTAAGACGTTTACCAGTATTAAAATTAATGGCACCTGCTTTAGCAAAATTTCAGCCTTACATAGGTCAAGAACCACCTGATGAATACTTGGATAAGGTTATTCAGTCATGGACATATCTTGAAGGACATATGACAGTTCTTGAAAATGCAAATGCAGGAGATTTTAATGATGCAGTCAAGTGTAATATTTTAAAATCTATGATGGGTGAAAAATATGCACCAGTACCAGCTCAAAATAATTTTGTAAATCCTACAGTTAATATCAATAGTTCAGATACATTACGAGGTTGGTTAAGAGCAAAATACCAGCGGGAGACTGTTGGAAATCAACAATCAGCTATTCAAAGATTGACTCAGAAAAAATATCAACCCTATGACACTCCAGATACCTATGAAGCTAGAATTCGACCATTATTATTAGAAGTAGCAGACAATGATGCACAAGTTTTAGGATTTCTAAAAAGCCATTTGATAGATGATTTTTATACTTGGATGAGAATTGCTAATCCAGCAGGCATTAATGCATTTTTCACCAAACTAAAAAACATGTGGCTGGAGCGCGCACCAAATTTGAATGGTCAAGTTTCTCAACAATCTTCTTATAACACCAAAATAATAGAAGCTCCTATAATTCCGCAATCAGTATTTCTTATACCCGATACACAAAAAATGATTGATGAGACATTAGCGAAACAAAAATCTAATTATGATGCTGAGATAGAAAAATTGAGAAAGGAAGTTCAATCCTCCAAAGCACAAAAAACACAGGCACCAGTTTCGCAAACTATTGAACCGGTTAGACAGCCAAGAAGCCCCCCATCAAATTTAAAAACGGAAGAAAATTATAAAAATTATTATGTAGCGAAATACTTTAACGATTTAGGAATATACCTGTCACCCAAATTCAAAATCCAAATGCCGAAATCCCAAATGCCGAAATCCCAAATCCCAAATTCCAAATTATGATTAGTA